GAGAGACTACTCAAAAGCATTCGAGTTTCATCAAAAAGCTCTTGAAATTCGGCAAAATTCGCTCCCTCAAGATCATCCTGATTTAGCTCAAAGCTACAATAACATTGGCCAGATCCATGATCACATGGGAGAGTACTCGAAAGCAATATCATTTTATGAACGCGCTGTTGACATTGGACAGCGTTCATTACCTGAAAATCATCCTCATCTTCAATTGTACCGAAAATGCCTCGCGGAAGTAGAAAAAAAGCTAATTCATTGTAGTTTTGATAAATAAAGGACTAATTTTCTATCAGTACTACTCACACTCTCACATGAGTGTTTAAATGAAACAGTGAATTAATTCAACAACGACTAACAACAGTCTAGAAATGGCACATAGCAAAATTGCTGTGCGAGATGATCAATGAAGAATAGATAAATATGTCTAACAGTTTGTATAATGCTGTTTGCTTAGGAAAAATGATCTGCGATTTGTGTTCCAAGGTAACAGTAAGGATGTGGGTGTTGGCGTGGGTGTGAAATGTGAGTGTTGTAGAAAGGGAAACATATATTCACATTCACACTCACTCACAGATACACCCACACCCTCGCATATCCAACTCCATCTAAATTCCGATAAACTCAGCGGTATTCTATTGATAGATAATGGCTTTCAGTGGTGCCCAAGAACAGTAGTACGACAATTTCTGACAACACACGATGGAACTCGTACGGATTTGATAAGTTTCAACAGGAATAAATGCACTTGAGCAACGAATCAGCCTTCACAATGTTTTTCTTGTGTCTTTTGGTTGAAAAATGTGAGCTAAACTTAGCACCAACCGTCGAAAATCCGACCGAATACAATTATGGTCCTCAATCTGGGTATGGGGTGTGAGAGTGGATGTGGGGCGTGGGTGTTGGTGTAGGCGTGGGGTATGCGTGTGGGTGTTAGTATTCGTCGAGAGAAAATTTACATTCACACCCACATCCGCACCCAACCACACATCACACCCACACCCTCAAGATAAAGGAGATCAACATATTCAAGTTTAAGCTCGGTTTTGAAAATAAAAGATTAGCGTGATTGATGATGAAAGAATATTATCTTTATCATGAATAAATCTTCGAAAGGCTAACAATCAGAAACATACGTAAAACGAATGAGTATACTGTTTTTGTTCAGAATTCGAATATCATCTCTATCAGATAATGTTTCGATTGCTTGTCAATCTGATGAATTTCAATAGTTTGAAATTCTCTAAAATCACTATATGTCAATAGCTAATAGCAACTTATAAACCGATCCTGTGAAAAATGTTTGAATTTAACTACGGTTTACACGACATTCTCCTTGAAACAGAACAGAAGAGTGTTATTTTTTGAATCACTGTTTCGATTACTAAAAGTAATCATGTAGTTCATGTTGCTTGTAGAACATTAAGTAATTTCAGTAATATTTTAATTTACACTTCACAATATATGATCTATGGATCAGCAATTAATAAACAAATAGTTGTATGCAAAATCATTAGTATTGATACATACTTATTTGTTCGAATGGGCATCTCAGGTTTCTATTTTTTTTGTAGTTATCTTATTTTATATCGATTGTATATGTAGTGTTGTTTATGATGAGAAAGTAATATATGGAACAAAAATCAGATTTGATTTAAAAAAAAGTACTTTCTAACCGAAATAAAATATGAAAGAATGAAAATTGACGATGCATGAATCTATGTCAAGATACTTTCTAGTTGTAGAATTTCGATTTCTCATTCAATTTCATAGCGAAATAAATATGTTTTATCTTGATGAGCATTGCAATTTTACTTGTGTTGAATGATTGATGTATTGAATTTTCCATCAGAGCCTTTTATTCATCGTAATTTATTTTAATAGATAGAAAAATGAAATTGATCAATGAAAAATTTCTTCAGAAAAAATACCATCGTTAAAAAATAAAATGAATGTTCATGACGAAGCCGTTTTGGAGCTACTGCAATGCATTTTATATCTTTGCAATCGACTCCTGGTTTTATTAACCTAGCACATATTGGATATGGATTTTTTTTGCGATTTTCTCGGTTGAGGCTTTCTTGAATAGAATCTGTTTCATTGGCCAACCACTTGATCTTATGCACACTTTTAGGATCAGCAGTTGAATACATAGTAAAGTCGCTTAGATCACTGCATGAATCAGCTCCAGTTTCTGCTACTGCACATCGTTTGCTCGAAGTACATCGATTGGATGCTGCGATCTCAGCATGAAGCTTATCATAAGTAGCTGTTAGTTTCTTGTTAGTTAATGGGAACTCAATGATGGTAACCAAAATATCTATTTATAATATTAGAACTTGATTATCATTAATTCTACATTCCTATAACTACGCACTTACTCAATACTAAAAGTAAACGAAGATATCGTTGCATATTGTTGTGTTTATTCGATGATGTGTTAAAGAAGAAGAAAAAAAATAGAAAGCATAAGGTTTTCACATCCTTATAAAGAGTGAGAAGTCGTGAGATTATCTGTTTGTTCTTTGTTCTGGATCATGGATGTCATAAAAAGGTCAAATGATAAAACATTGAATCACAAGAGACCTCATCATAATTTAATTTCCATTGATGGAAATCTTAAAATAGTGAAATTCCTAATATAACATTCAACATACTTCTTGACAATAAAATTTGTGAAATCAATTGTATTCATTTTTATTTTATTCAAGAATCTCGATGTTTGTATTCTTATTAATTGTTTCGAAGAAATTCTGCTCTTCTTTGATCGATTTATTTATCAGAACTTATTTTATTATTCATTTAATTTATACTTCATACGAACTTTCGTTTATAATTTCTTTACGTCTACTAATAAAAAGATAGTATATCTGGTGATTTTATAATTAGACATGCATGGAGATCGAGATTTCGTGGTTCACTCATCCTGATGATTCTTTCAAGGACTATTGATCATGAAAGATATGAATCTATCATCAATTTCTGGAAAAAAAGCTTCACCAGAAATAAGTTCATCTTATTGAGTTTAATACAACGGATTATTTCAATCAAAATGAAACAAAAAAAAAGTAAATTCAGTTTCGAATCCTTCTAAAATTCAAATTTATGTTTAATTGCTTACAATATTGAACTCATTCTATTCATGCTTAAGAGCATGAAACGAGAGCTCATCAGTCTTCTCAGATAAGTCTTGTTGCATTTTTCGAAAAGATGTACCTCTACCACTGCATCCAGTCCATAACGCAAAAATAAAGATGATTTGCCTTAGCAGGTGGTAACTCAACTTTAAGTCTTGAATTCTTTTCACTTAAGGCCCTTCCCTCTTCTCAGAATTGATTTACACCTCAGAAGGAACTGTTTGGGCTGAAACTTTCAGAAATGAGTGGTCCTAGTGAGAAACACTCTTATTTAGACATTTACAAAAAAAACATCGATTATACCGTTGAGTTGGATGGGAGTTATTTCAATTTTCCTGCCTGGAAACCATATTTTGAGAAAAACGATAAAAAACGTTGAAAACCGATTTTTTCATTCAAATACAAAAAAAAACCGCATTAAAATGGTAGATTAATAATATGTGTCATTGAAAATTTTTAAAGCACTTAACAAATCAGTTAAACTATCACTATCGGTCATACTTAAGTAAATATAATGATTGATTTAATGATGATACAAATAAAAAGGCAGTTTTCCCAAAACTGAAAAACCTTTAAAAACCATAGAAAGTTCTGAAAAATCACGATAGTAAGGTTGATTTTTGCTTTGAAAGTCTGTTAAAATTTGATCATTTTTCAAAAATCTATACATATTCAGAAAGAGGAAATTTCGCTGCATCTTCCTATGGTAAAAAGTCAACTTTCAGCTTTTCTCGAAAAAGCGGATTTTCCGAGGGGCTGTTAAGTTTCACAGAGAAACGTAGCTTTTTTATTCAAATCACGATCCATATCTAAATTTGATGTTTTGATAGACATCAACGAAGTAAATTGAGAAGCTTAACTCAGATAACACTGTTTTGATGAGTGTGCATGCAGCCAAATAGTTCAAAATGAAACTGATGGTGTTTGATTGTTTTGATAAATATACTCAACCTTCACTTCAACATGTTTTCTCAAAGAAAAAAAATGTTATATATATATATGTGAAATATATGCCAACCGATGAAGAACGACCAGTCCGAGCTGGATTAGATCAGTTGCAACTGTGCCTAAAGTTATACTTTCAGGTAGAGTAGATTACACCAAATAAGTACTACTAAATCTTAAAGAAAAATCTACAATTGCATAATTTACACTTCTTTATATTATTAATGCAATTTTCAAAAAAATAGTTCAATTTCATATAAACATTGCAGAAGATGTTGAAAAGCTTAAAATCAATTGTTTACATTTTTAAACTAAAATAATTATATAGTAACATCAGTAAAAGGCAACTGTTTTTTCCTCAATTGCTTATTGGTACTTGAAAAATTTCTAATCGAACTTTATTCAGAAAAGTAAACGAATCATAAGTTTTATGATAAAAAATCGTAATATCTATATGCGCTTAAGAATTGTTTATATATGATAAATAATATAAATATTTGTTAAGTGTCACACTTTGAACATAGTAATGACTGGCTCACGTAACTATTGATTTCACTTAATTTGATTAAAATAGTATTGCTTCGAGAGTGTGAAACTTATTAAAGAGAGAGCAACAGTCACATACAGATCCCACACCCACGCTCTCCTGAACGAACAAATGTTTATAAATGGTTCATAGAATCAAGTTAATCAAAACATTTGTGAATCCGTCATTTCAAGGTGATAAACACAATGAATTTATGAAATATCTCGTGCTAAATTGAAAATTTCAACACTTTAACATTTAAAGATGTGTACCGTTCGTAAATTCACTCATATCATCCAATGGTTTATCCTTCGTTTCGGGCAAGGTTAAACTTAGTAGAACTGATATTAGTGTCAAGGCTGCACAAACATAGAATGTGATGGGTAAGTATTGTTCATGAATTGAAGCATCAATGATAGGACTTGTGATTGCACCTAGACGGCTGACGGCAACAGCAAAGCCATTTGTAGTACTTCGGATTGATGTTGGAAATAGTTCTGCTATATAGACTCCAGCGATACAGTTCGATGCCGATATAGCAAACTTGCCCATTTGCGATATAATAACTGTAGCCAGAGTGCTATGCTTAATTATCAATGGAATAATGAGAATACATACGCTTGTTAAACCTGTAAAGATAATGAATGAATATTTACGACCCAATCGCATTGACATGAACACAGTGGCAGTAATATAACCAAGTGCCTCCACAATTGCTCCAATTAAAATAGCAATATAAGGAGAAATTTTCATCGTTGCAAGTCCATATGATATCTTATAATACAGTAACGTTTGCGTAAAAGCAATGAATCCAACGATTACAATACGTTTTATTGTTGTTGGATGTGATACAAATTGTTTAACCTTTTGAGTAAATGTTAGTTGTTTCTTTCTGACTATCGGAGACAATTGTGTATTTAATAATTCTTGAAATACAGGATACCAATCGATAACTTGTCGACCATTTCTCTTGGCCATTCGACGTAAAAGTCTCTCAAGTCGAGTATACTGATTTTTTGAGTATAGATATAATGGTGATTCATCAGTGAAACAAATCAAAAGTAATGATATTCCAATGCAAATTGTATTTGCCCACAAGAGATTCTGCCAGTTTCGAGCCATATAAGCAAATAATGTGATTAGCATTTCACCGAAGACGAAAGATAAAAATGCAAGATTACCAATAAAACTACGATATTTTAAACTTGTCCATTCGAGCGTTGTGATAAGAGCGATGGTAGATGTTAAATGAGTTAAACCTGCCATAAATTGATTGATCAGTAGAATAGCAAACCTATATGAAATATCAGTATTACAATGAGACATTTGAAAGTAAGAAGATCTTTTCTAAAATTCGAACTGAATTTTATAGCATTTCTATTAATTTCATATGTCAAACATCCGATATACGAAGCATCAAGATTTCTATTCGATAGGTTCCATTTTAAGATCGAGTATATCATGAATTCATTTAAATGAAATATAAAACCTTTGAATATCTAACTTACTAGCAACGACAAAATGCTTGAGAATCGTATTTTTCATCTGAAACATTGAGAATACAATCAAAAAATAGTTTTCTTGAATATATTGGAATAGTACAAGTTTAGCTGTTCAAAATACTAATAAAAAATTAATATGAAGATACAACATGTGAATATACTGTTTAAGTCTTTTTGATACATAATTGAACAACATTTAATGACAAGTTACTACATTGTGGGAAAAAATATTTTTCCAGAGGGTAACACTATGCTTTTAGATAGAATTAATAGCAAATTTTATATCAAATGGAAACACATCAAAAATGGGATTTACCAGTATTAAATAATAAGGGTTCTGTCAATCTTTTTATATAAAATATAACAAATTTCTAGAAATTAATGATGTTTGATATAAAAAGATTGACAGAACCCTTATTATTTAATACTGGTAAATCCCATTTTTGATGTGTTTCCATTTGATATAAAATTTGCTATTGACTGTATTTAAAATCATAATGTTATTCTGTGGAAAAATATTTTTGCCCACCCTGTAGTAACTTGTCATTAAATGTTGTTCAATGATGTATCAAAAAGACTTAAACAGTATATTCACATGTTGTATCTTCATATTAACCTTTTATTAGTATTTTGAACAGCTAAACTTGTACTATTCGAATATATCCAAGAAAACGTTTTTTGATTGTATTCTCAATGTGTTAGGTCAAAAATACAATTCTCAAGCATTTTATCGTTGGTTGTTAACCAGAAGTACTATTCAAGAGATAATACTAAACAGTTATCTATAGAGTAAATCAAAATCAATGATCAATCGACATTCCTAACAACGTGTTTGGTCAAGTAAAAGTCATGTATACGATGTTCTGTTCATAGTACGACACAAACATGAAGTGCTACTAAGCTAATCTGCACCGATAACAAAGGTAAAAACAAGATGCTTACTTCATGTTGATCGACATGGGAATCCATTGGATTATTATTTGCGTGATAAAACAGATTGAAAAAACTAAGATGCTCGCACCGAGAATAGTCCGTTTACGACCAAATTTGTCGGCCAATATTCCAGCTATTAGAACTAGGAATCCACCAGCTTGCATGAGCGTAGCAAGTAGACTCTTTTTCGGTTTATCTCGACATACTAGACCGATTGCTTCTGTAAATGTGAAACCATAAACACTTCGTTCAAAAACCAATTCATTCGGACATTCGATAAGAGACTTATTGATATTCGAAGAGTCGAATAAGTGACATTGATCCCATTTTCCATCCTTCGTTGGAATGTAAAGTTGAAGAAATAATGCATGTGTTCGATTGATAGGAGTATATGTGTCATCATTTGGCCATATTGATGGTGCAAGACGACATCGATGATCGGGCTCAGCTGCACCGAAAACATAATAAAAAGACGCAAGACCAGCCGAAATTTGTATCAAATTAAGAAAGCAATACTGACGCCATTGGAATCGACCGAGCCTTCCACATTTATGAATGACATCGTCCAAAGTTGTAGTTGTTGAAGGGGCTTCTGGTAATGACTGTGATGTAGACTCCTCTTGGAAATTGCATAGGTTGTCAACCAAGGCAGCCATTTCTAAAGTCAGTGCACTCGTATCACTGATAAAGTATTCTTTATTCATCACACATCTTTTATCTTTTCATAGTCCGTGTTTCAAACTGTCGTAGTCCAAACATTGCATCGAGATATGTCAACATTGGTAACACATTACAGATGCTATAATATTATTACAGCTAATCTTAACAGCAATTTTATTCTTTTCATAAGCTACCAAACTGGAAGACGATAAACAACTTGTTCAGGGGTCGCAAAAGTGGGGGAGTGGAAGGAAGTGTACACCCTCCATAATTGAAAATTTAGGACTTTTTAGCTATGAAAAAATAGGGGAGGACTTTTTAGTAACTGGAGTGTAGACTGTTGAAGTAAAATTATCTTAGAAGAGAGTTTTCTAGACTCTATTTTGTTGCATTCTTAAAAACATTTCGCTTCGCAAATTAGGTTATGTCAGAAAGTTTTTCATTAATGGCTCCTTTTCATTTCGGCTTTCAATCTGAAATACATTTTCAAGTTCTTGTTCATATTTCAAGATACAGAATGGTTGAAAGCGTAGTCACTTTTGGTGGCTGAATATAAAAAATAAAAAGTTTTCTTTCTTGTCTCTCGTAAAACCGACTTCTTATTTGTGATGAGAGTGTAGGGTGGGTGACTGTGGATATACGAGAAAAACAACCACACACACCCACACCCACACCCACCCCACACCCAAAATTCAAATTTCAAATGATTTCACCGAAATTTCTTGAATAGGTTTGATCAAAATAAATGCACTATCACTTCATTTCCTCGATAAAAGGAAAGTCAAGTAGTTATCAGAGATAGCAAATAAAAGTCAACTATTTAGTAGACTATTTTCAAAAAGACAACTGAGAGTATGTAAAAATAAGTTTCAGTTTCATAAATATATTACTAGCCAGCGAAAATGGGGAAACTGTGCGAAGAAGTAGCACACTCCATCCTTGTGCAAGATTCATTATTCGCACACTTGTTTTTCACTAGATATAACGACAACCACTACAAGAGCTGCAATGTCATCCACTAAAATACCGTATACTACAACATCCTCCGCTAGAATGCCACCTACTACAACGTCGTTCACTACAATACCGTCTACTGCAATGTCCTCCACTACTAGGTCAGTCAATATTACACCATCTATTGGAAGTAAGTCGTAGAGCCACTTATTGTAATGCTACCATCTTGTTTCATCGGTCTCATTTGAAAACCTACAATTACATTTCACCATACTATTATTAGTAGTAGAAAAATAGCTGACAGAAATTTTGCTGAACACAAATATAATATGTAGTCTACAGATGACAATAATTTATATATAGCGTTCACCATTTGAAGGCTATTGTAAAGAAGAAAGCCTTATGCTAGAACAGAAACAGAATATTGCCGTGCAGAAAAAGTGACCCATTTGAGTCAAGAATTGGCGTGAGTATTTTTGTTGACTGAATACTGGGGTGGGTGTGGGTGGGTGTGGGTGTGGCTGTGCATGAAGAGATGATTCACACTCACACCCACACCCCACACCCACATCCACACCCACCCACACCCACACCCACACCCACCCCACACCCACACCCACACCCACACCCACCCACACCCACACCCACACCCACATCCACACCCACCCATAGTTTAACTTAGTAGATGCAGTACTATTTAAGACTTATTTTCATAGACTCGATTATGATTATTTTTTTTTCAATTCATTGTATTTTTTCATATGAACGAAATATGTCACGCGATAAAAACTCACATTTTGTCATTATTATATTTTTCATAATTATCGTTATCCTAGAACGTGTAAAAAAAACTGTTGTTTGAAATAAATGTGAATTAAAGCACGATTATGGTTTCAATATATTGCGATTAGTCATCAATTTTATAACGATTTCAGAGACATGAGTTTTGTTACAAAATAATGTGATCTTTAGCTGATAGCGTTGACTAGTTTTTATAGCATGTATATCATTGACATTTAAGTAAGAAAGATTTGAAGATGAGAGTAATCTGCCAAAAAATTGACACAATATCTTTAGTTTTCTTTTCATTTCAGCAAAGTTTTTCCTTCTATAAAAAAAATAAATCGTCCATGGTTTGACATTATTACTTGTCAGTTGACAAAAAGAACTACAAGGATAGTGATGATAGGTATACTGAATTAAATGGCCATAGCAACTAGAATAGAAAGTACAGATAAACCTAAACATCTGAAATAATTATACTTATTATTCACGTACAATGGTTTCTTTGAATCCAAAAAAAAGCATCTCAATTTCAAATTGAAATAACTAAACAACGCTTCTTTATTTTAAACGAGAGGAGACTTGAGATGACGAGTATGACGCAGCACAAAAAATAGAATCTAGAGACGATCATTTTTCTAGATTTTGTGTTAATTGTTCTTCCTGCGAGTTTATTATACATCAAAAAAAAAATAGATAATTGAAAATGATAAGCATTACCAAAAAAAAAACACAAATAGCTTTTATATTAATTGATGATTTCAACATTATATGAAAGAAGTTTTTCTTCCTCAGCTTCTAATGTCATTTTACATTCCAATATTGTTCCATCTTGTGTACATTCACCGTTAGATGCTATTAATCTCACCGATCGTCCATAAATTATTTGTTTATATTCTACTTTCACTGATCGATTAGTTTTAAAATTTTTTAATAAAACATTAACATCGTAAATAAATTGTGTTCGTTGTTCAACTCTGTTGTCTGGTTGAATAGTTTCATTGTAGGTACGTGATGAAACTAAAGTAACAGTTTCATTATAAACAATATCTGAATCTTCACCAATTGAAAATTCATGTTTATTTTTAGCAGCTAAATTTGGTAAAAATGTTTCACCAACGAGACGATCATATTCACGTATCATACAATTTCCACGAGAAATAAAACGATCAGCTGATAAACGATATGTACGTACAGCTTTACCAATCGATTTTCCAGCACCATTAAAATATATTTTATGAATTCGTACAAAACGTTCCACATTCACTTGTGGACGAAACATTGGTAAAAGATAATTTGTTTTTGCATCAATAGAAACTGGTTGATTAATTGTAAATACATATAGACCAGCGATTTCCTGGCCTTGTTCAACTGATGGATTAGGTGTCAATCCACCTGTTCCACCTCCATCGGCGGACGAGTCAAATGTTGTCGAAGGTTTTTGTTGTTCAGACATCTGTAAATTAATATCACCACCAAGAAGTTCAGCATATACGATATCAATGTTTGATTTTCCACTATTTCGAATATCAGCCATTGCAATTAATATTGGATTCTTTGATTCTTCAAATAGATATAATTGATAACGTGTTTTCCAATTAAGATTTGAACGAAGATAACTAACATATACTGTATCTGTTGTATAGTATGTAAAATTAACATAATATTTTGATTGAGATGGTTTATTAATATAAAGTATATGATCAGATGGAACAGTAAAAAAGATTGGTTCTTGACTAATATTATTATCAATAAGTTGAACAAGATTTATATTTTCATCAATCATTGTTGCTTGGAGAAATTTTGTTTCTGTTTGTGATGATGAGGGTGAACGAACATAAATGAGATGATTGTTAAGTGAATTTTTCTTCTCAGTAATTGTTTGTCGTGTTACAGTGACATTTGAGCCAATGAGAGTCAGTGAATCAGAACGAATATTAGACCAATCTTCAGCAGAAAATTCTAGTGGTAATTCACCAAGTGGCTGAATAATTTCAGCAAGATTGGAATAAATTTTCACTTTCGCCAACATCTGTTGATCATCAGTAGTTGGTATTGGAACATTTTTGGAATGTATTCTAGCATTGGTGCTAGATATTGATATGATTAGTAGATGCAAGAGTAGAAGACCTTTCATCCTGAAATAAAAGATGATAATATGTTATGAGAATAGGAACGAATTTCATTGATCATAATATATAATAGGATAAAGTCTTTATTTAGCTTTTATTTTGTACAAAAACACAGATTCTTGTTTGATGAAATGTGGATACAAAATATTTTATAAACGCACAGAATTATTTGGATGTCATATGGGATAGAATGAGACGAAAAGTTTTCTATGGAAAAGAATCAATTTATTTTATTATTAAATAAGAGTGACACAATGGCCGCAAACTTTGATACAAAAAAGAAAAAACATGATCGACTTTGAGATGCTGATCAAGAACGTCTGCAAATGTTACAAACTATCAGAGGATATCAAAATTTACTGCTCATTTTCTTAAAAGACCGAGATGGATGCATTGTCTTCTATTGTTCTAATACTTGTCAATGTGTTTGCATTGCAATGTCTAATAGCGAACATTTACGTCTCGGCTTCAATTTAACTTTATAATAGAATGGGAACTAAGATACAAATATTTTTATTATGGATGGAATAAGCAGCTGTGATGAAGTGGAAATCGACGTAAACTCAAATCCTGTGTTTTTTTGGTCTAAAATTGGTAATCGCTGCTCTTCATAAAAAGGTATTTCTTTCTGTCTTAATAAAGACATCGGATGACTTTTTCTCATCTGAGCCGAAACCGATCGTGGCATCTCGAATTCATCCCTCTTTTTTACTAATATTTTTTAACCGTTTCATTAGTTATATATCTTCTAGTCCAATTCCTACGATTACTAGACTAAAGTCTCCTCACAGTCTAGAATTCCCTTAGACTTCGAATCTGTGCAGAAAATTATAAGCTTGGAGGAGAGTTTGCATTGATATCAACTTTTTTTGTGTTATATCAAGGACTACATTAGCTTACGAGTACGATTGTTAGTTTTCAGTTCTGTTTTTGAGACGATAGACAATAAAAGTATTTTCGTTCCTGGAAAACACAGAGCTCACTTGTGTGCTAATGTTCTTTGAAACCAGGGAACACGTTAGTGTATGTTGCGTATTCTTTGAGAACAAAGACTGACATCTTCAATCCACAAGCTATTATAGCCACGTTTTCATCGATTTTCTTTTATTTTTTGTGATGCGTTCTATAGATAATTTTCAGTTGCCAATTCACAGAATAACACGAAGAAATCAAAACAAACTTTATGAATAATACAGCATTGATGTAAATAGAGCAAACTTTCAGAAATAGTTAGTTTAAAAATCAATGACTCCAATCTTTTGAAATTTTCAAGAATGAAACACAGGTTTTTGTAAGACAATCGGCGATTCGCTGTCCAAAAGGCTACAATTATGCATTTTAGTTTTTAGATGCAAATTTTGGCATTTAAATTAACTATTTCCGAAACTATGCTCTATCTACATCAATGTTGTATTATTCATAAAGTTTATTTCTTCATGTTATTCGCTTCGCATGTATTTTTCTTACTTGATAACAGATAAAATTTCTTTAGTGAGGTCAACAATAATACTTAATAGAAGTATTTGTTTACATTATTTGTATGAAAAAAATACTTCGAATAAAGTTCTATCACTAACTAAAAATCAGTTTATTTGATTGAATCAGAGTGGAGATATTTGAATTTTTTATATCGTAGTGCTATTTATGGAACACCCTGTACATAACTCGTGTATGCTAGGCATCGATTAGTTTTAACTTTTCATTTTTATACGTGAGCAGTCGTTGTTACTCTGTTTATATGTCTATCATTTTTTAATTTTATATTAATATCACTGTTACATTTATGGCTCCACGAACATTATTTCTGGACACAAAATAATTGCTTTCGACGTACTCACCTATCATGAGGATGACTTTTAAAATCTGATAAGTTAGTTCGCTGGTCCAGATGACGCAGCATTACTCTTAAAATTCAAGACCTATCGAGTAAATCCAGCATCGATTCGTCCAAGAATCTATTCCAGAGTTTCTAGTCGGTGTTTCAAGTATAACTCGACACACTCTATTACACGGTATAATTAAATTTTTCAGAACTTAAACTATGTTCGAAAAAAAAAACTCGAAATACGGTAGACTTATTCAGAATTCTGTTCCAAAGCTCGCATACTTCTTCTAAATGACAAGCCGATGAGCTCCATTTTATGGTAAAATTATATTTCGTATAGCTCCGATAATAATACGACAGAGAAAATGGGAATTCGGCGGAAGATAGTCGAGAGCCAATGGAATACGCAAAAAGAACATGATACAAGGCGAGAACAGGTCACAGGAAAAGGCACAACGATCCGTACAGCAAAAACTTCATCTCGCCTTCGACTTTCTGCATTAGCATCTAATATATCTCCTGAACACTCCACACTTTAATTTGTTTCAGCTACACAAACATAGAAATGAATGGGCTCACTGTACCTTGTCATAATTGTTTTCCATACATTATGAAATGGGCATTATTTTGTTAATATTCAGGGACTCCTATATTTCATGATACAGAAAAATATTGATTGAAGGTAAAGCTGTATTAATCCTATGCCTATCATCATCGCATTTACCATGAACAAATTATTCCAAAGGTTTCAATACGTCCCACAACAAGCCGGCAGAAAAGTGTCAACAATCGAATATTTGAATAAACAACTAATTTTTGCCGAATGATGCCCATCGAAAAAATCATTATCCGACAGAGTATCACATTTTGCATCTATCATTCTCAACTACTGAGGCAGAACAGATTCAGAAGTGAATACTAGCACGAATGACTTGAATCATCTACTAACTTTTGTTAGTTACTTGAACTATGAAAAATTTAATTATACCACTGGATAGAGCTCGTGAAGTTCTTCTTAGACAATAATAGAAACCTTGGAACAGGTTCCTAGACGAGTTGCTGGTATATTTACTATAGTAGCTCCAAAACTTTTATGCTGATCTACCAGTATTTTAGAGTTTTCAAAAACATAGATTAGACTATGGGAAATCTAATTATATTATTGGATAGAGAGCTAGCCAAGTTGTACTTGAAATACTGACTAGAAGTTCTAGCACGGACTCTTGGATGAATCACCGCTAAAATTATTCAAATTCGCTACTAACGTCACCTACACTCCTGGACAAAAGTCTTTCCTCCTCTTTCTTTCTATGCTATCATACTTTGCATTAAATTTATTGCTGAGTAAAGAAAAGACATAAGAGGTGTATTTCAGTGTGATTATTAAACTGAAATACACCTCTTATGTCTTATCTTTACTTGATAATAAATTTGCTATGAAGTATGAAGGCATAATAAGAAACAGAGAAAGAGAATTTTGTCCAGGGGGTATGTTTTTTAAAGTCAAAAAAGTCACAAACTCAGTAGTTTCCTCCTTGTGACGTATGCATAATACGATTGATTACGAACAATGAACATGATCATCAAACATATTTATTTTCTCCGCTTCTTTTTTCATATGTGCTCATTTTGGATAGAGTGGACTTGTATTATATTCGGCATATCATAATCTCAAGACTGAACTTCTATTCTATGAGAAAATTTAGTATGCATCAATATCTTTTATGCCTTCTTTCATCATAACTTTGCTTACGTTGATGTAAGAACATATCTGTACATATTTCTTAATTAAATGGTAAAACACGAAAGTCCCATGGAGTAAAATATTGAAGGAAACGGACTGCGTAACGCGTTTTCGAGGTTGTAGCATGCGTTTCGCAACGTTTTTGCAATATAGGGCGCGTTTCGCAGCATTCTTACTTACATAAAATGCGTTTTGCCACAGTCGTTTTTTGAAACGATCCGAAACGCTTTTTTCAAGATTGCGTTTTGAGGCGTTTCCGAATTAAAATGCTGTCGAACGCACTTTGGTCGACAGGCGACCCGTTCCACAGATACAAATTGGGGGAAACGTAAAACGCGTTTCTTTTTCAAATGTGTGTTGCATTGTTTTTGCTTGGTATGATGCAAAATATATCCATTCTGCATACAGAATCTTGCAAAAATTCACCAACACAAAGCATAGGAGTTAAGCAAAGTAAATTCTTTAAAATTACTTTGGAAATGATATGGAATAGCACTTGATAGTTTTGCTCCTTGCACTATTTTTGTACGTGAAAATCATGACCCAGGATTTTATGAAGGCAATACTAAAATCAAAGTCTTGGAAATTTTTAGGCTGCTAGGCTGTTATCTAGACCTAATTCGAAGTTAGACTAATGTAAAACATCAAAGTGTAACAAAAAATATATTCTTCTTACTTAAAAACTCATTTCACCACGTTTTTATTGAAAGAAAACGTGTTTCGTATGGTTTACTTAAGAATTGTTTTCGACTTGTCCACGGAGGGAGATGATTCCGTCACGCTCGTTTGTAATGAATGAAAATTTACAGACAAATTTGCAGTGTCTCATTTTGACAAGCACAATTTTTTGTCCAAGATTGCAAATGCATTGAATTCTAGAGATCGAATCATTTGTATGAAATAAAACAAATAAAGCGTGACGGAATCACGTTTTACGTGGACAGGTCGTTTTAAGTATTGAGCATTTCGAAGAGATTTAGTAAAGACTGATACTAATATAATTAGTATAGTAACTCTCTTTGGTTATTTGTGAACAAAAGAATTATCTCGTTATCTATAATTTGAATAAATATTAGTTTGAGTTCATACTCGAACTAATTGATAATAACTAATGATACTGTGTACAATACTAGTAAACATGATTTTAGTGTGTACATTGTTGAAGTAAGAGTGACTTTTTAATAAAAGAGATTCGATTTACAAAAGAGAACTCCTTTCATTTATTGATGTATTGGATAAAACGATGACGGATTTACATTTACAAAAATCTATTAATCAAGAAAATAAATAAAAGATTAAATTTTAAATTTGTTAAAATTTATATATAAGAAATTTAATTTTTTATATATTAAATACAATGTAAATCGATTAAATTCGTTTCTATTGTGTATCTAAATTTAAATCTGAAAGAGTTTAAATAAAAAATGTATCAAGAA